GATCTGGTGTAAGTAGTAATAATGCGCGGCTGAGTTCGCAGGTCAGACTGGGAAACTTCATAGAGGTAAGCGAGAAAGAGAAGGAGAGAGATAAAAAAGAAACAAACAAACAAACCCAGACTTTAAGTGATTCACCTTATGTGAATAATTATGTGCATTTTAACCAACATCCGACTTAGAACATATTCATGTCTTGGTTAAAACTAGGCATTTATCAGGTCGGGCATGGTGGCTCATGCCTGTAATCCCAGCACTTTGGGAGGCCGAGGCGGGCAGATCACCTGAGGTTAGGAGTTCGAGATCAGCCTGACCAACATGGAGAAACCCCATCTCTACTAAAAGAAAAAAAAAAAAAATTAGCTGGGTGTAGTGGCACACACCTGTAATCCCAGCTACTCAGGAGGCTGAGGCAGGAGAATCACTTGAACCTGGGAGGCAGAGGTTTCAGTGAGCCGAGATCGTGCCATTACACTCCAGCCTGGGCAACAAGAGTGATACTCCGTCTCAAAATCAAACAAACAAACAAACAACTAGACGTTTGTCTTTGCAGGGTAAAACATTTATTGGCCCTGCAGATTGAAAGTTATCTGTCTGAATTCCCGTTGTTCTCGCTTCTTTCCCCCTCCAACCACTGGGGGGCTGCAAAGAGCTCTATTTGCTAGTGCTTTCTTTTTTTTTTTTCCCCAAGACGTGTAATATTTGATTACAACAGAGGCATTTATTATGACACTTTAGTTAGTATTTACAGGACTGACTTTCCTTATTACAATGCACTTGTATTTTATGTTTCCAAATCATATGATCTCTGAAGAATGCTTGAAATAACAAAGCTGTATGTTTTATGTATAATGCACCCTGCCTCTGACTTTGCCATTTTTAAGGTTCATACCATTGTTATTCCCATCACACACACACACACACACACACAAATCAGGAAGGCATGTGAAGATTGAACAAAAAAATAGATTCTTCTTTCATACAGTTCTGTATTCATGTGTAGAAAAACATTGGGAGTCTGGAGTGAAACTTTCTCACAGAGTTGAATGCACCCTCCAGACAACTGTCTGGAAGCATGTGCTCCCAGCTTCAGGCTGGTGTAAGATGTTGTATCTGTGGTGCACAGCTTGTTCTGCCTTTGTGCTTCTTGCTTCTTGCTTTCGACTCGAGCAGTTAATCCCTCACAACTACAGAATCACTGTACTTTCAGTGTAGATATATTTCCAGTTTCAGAAATCATACAGTGGCCAGGCAATTGTAACTCCTTCCCTTCACCTTTACATATTTTGGCTATTCAAAAAAGATAAATACTTCTTGGATTCCATGAAGAGACCAGATCACATGCGCATGTTCTGTGAGTAAAGCTGGTAAGGTATTGTGGACCCAGAGAGTTTCTGGAGGCAGAGAAAGACATGTCTTATCCAAAGGAAAGAACACAATGCAATCTAGACAATACCTCAGTGTTTGTGCTCAATTTGGCAAAATGTCAGTGGTCCCAAGACCTCAAGGACTTGGTACACAGTCCTTTTTAAGTTCCCAACATCTAGGCATAGAGGTCATTTGGAACAATACTCAAGTATAGACTATCAATTGTTGTAGTGCCCATCTTGTGTGCTGAGAGCCTGACTCAGTGCTCTGGAAGTTTCTGTGCCAGTAGCAGAAGGCCACCCCCCACCCCTCCCACCCCTACCTTTCTTTGAGGAGCTTCTGTTTTAGTTGGAGAGGGAAGATTTTTATGTGAAAATTTTAAGAGAGTAGCAGCAGAGAGAATTTGTCCAAAGTATAGTACTGACTGTGATAGAGACACAGGCAAAGGAGATGGGAGTGCAGAGATAAGGTTTACAAAAACAGCATGTAGTAATAGGTTAGGAGGAGAATGGAGCGGAATAACAACAGTGTGGTATAATTGTAGTAATTTCAGTGTATGGAGTCCCTCTTTAGTATGTAACAGGCACTGTTGCTAATCCTGTTACGTGGGCAATCTCTAACTCTTACAACACATGCAGAGCCAGTGTTAGCCCATTTCATAGATGAAGAAACAAATTCTATGACAGGGTAAATGACTTGCCAAGACCTCCAGCTAGAGGGGGTGGCACTGGGATGAGAATAAAAAGGTCACTATACCCAGTGCCCCCTGTTTGTCAGACAGTCTTCCCAGTGGTTTTGAAAGCCGGTCTAGGGACCACAAGGAAGCTGAGCTGTTTGTATCTCTGAGTTACCCAGGAGCCCTTGTGGTCCCACCCACAGAAGAGCACAGTATGAGTGTCTAAGGCTGTTTAAAAGGGCATGCAGGTGAGGTGAGGGAAATGGACCTTGCTTTCACCATGGAGACCAGTGTTCTTGCTTAGAGCAGTCACCTCGTTCTCTCTCCCACAGATTCAAAAACCATCCTTGAATATTCCAGATTGCACACTGCATAACTTCCTGCAGGGGCAAAGGTAGTGTGGAATTTTTATGGTGGCTTGTTCTAAATCATCTTTGGGTAAGTAGCAGGTGTCTTCTAGTGGTATAACAGAGTCATTTTTCCAACTGAAGCACAAATGCCAAAAAGCCCTCAGCAATGCATCAGAAAGTGTACTCTGACCTGCTGCCATCCTGAAACGCCTGTGGTTCTTGGACCGAAATGTACCCTTTACCTCTCTTGCACTCTCTGGGCAGCAGGCTAGTAAGTCACCTTCCTCAGCCCAATTTTCACTGTTACTCAAGACTTGGCCTTCCATAAGGAACCTTCCTAGGCTGGTTACTTTTGAGTGACTTGCCTCTCTTTCCTGCATGCCTGTGTTTTCTTGTCTGACTCTAGTCCTCAGGGCTCAGAGACCAGTGCTAGAGGCTCATCCTGACTCTCCTGATATCTCCAGAGCCTGGCCTCAAGATATGAGATGAGCAGTACACAGTGATTTGCTTGGTGAACACACCTGTTTGTAATCCCTAGTGCTGTCATTTCTTGATGTAGACATTTTACATGTTTTCCTCTCTCCTGTATAAAGTAAAATTTGGGCATATGGTCAGAAAAACTTGAGTTCCATACCTGGCCCTACTACTTCCTAGTTAGATGATCTTGGACAACTTGAGCCTCAGTTTCCTCATCTCTAAAATGGGGAGACAGAGATCTACCTTGTAAAATGGTTGTCAGGATAGTGCTTAGAGAACACGTAGCCCAGTTTGGGACATGAAAAAGGCATAAATGTACAATGACTAATTATTGATCACTTCTTCAGTTGTTTTAGTGTCTTGAGAGTTGGTGAATTTTTTTTCTGATCACTTAGAAATCCAATAGCTTTGTTCATATCTTTTCTCAGCTCAAACTGTTATCTCTGTTTCTCTGTTTCTCAGTCACTATACCCAGTGCCCCCTGTTTGTCAGACAGTCTTCCCAGTGGTTTTGAAAGCCGGTCTAGGGACCACAAGGAAGCTGAGCTGTTTGTATCTCTGAGTTACCCAGGAGCCCTTGTGGTCCCACCCACAGAAGAGCACAGTATGAGTGTCTAAGGCTGTTTAAAAGGGCATGCAGGTGAGGTGAGGGAAATGGACCTTGCTTTCACCATGGAGACCAGTGTTCTTGCTTAGAGCAGTCACCTCGT